TTTTTCTACGCCACTGGTCAGTATTATAATTCTATGAGTAATTATTTGTATCTCACTTTGAATTATTTTCAAGTATTGTGCAATAATTGTTTTTTAAAATGCTGTAGCTTTTGATTTAGGTCATTTCGGTCATTTAATTTTCGTCTATGAGTCGAATCGGGCTGGGTTTCGGCGGGTCGTTTCGATTACCAGTATTTTAAGAAATGTTACAACAAACCACAAGCCAATTATAAATAATCTTATTGCTTATTTCGTCTCCATAATCAACATTCACGATCGTTTTGACTCAAAAACACAGAAATGATTCGGGCCGACACGGACAGGGTCAAACGGGTTAACCGACTGGGATTCCCCGTCTGACAATATAAACATCCTGAGCTGTCCATTGTGTGTAAAATAGGCCTACTTTCCGGAGTTTCAATCAAACTTTACAACTGAACAATCTGAGCAGGGCTAGGAATTACGCGCGTGTGCGTGTGCCACAAACGTACGTGTTTACGTATGTTTTTACACTGTCGTTTTGAGGGACCTTAGGTAGCAGGGCTTAGCGGAAATGTTCATTCTTTGTTATTATCATTATGATTATCATTCTTTGTTATTATCATTATATGATTATTCGTTGTTATTATCACTATGATTATCATCGTAAGGCTTGTGTTCTTCATCTTTCTTTTTTTCTCTCTTATGGATGTCTCTGATCCACCTCCGGATCTTGTTCCCTTTGCCTAATATCTTTTGTTTCTGTGTTCCCGGGTTCTGGTTTTTATGACTTCATAAACATTAAGTGGTCAAACCAATTGAGCCTCTGTTTCTTAATTAAATCAAGTACTGTATTGGTTGGGTTCGAATCTATCACTGTCATTTCTAACTAACCTGCATTCTTATAAAATAAGAAGGTACAATAAGTTTCAATATTTCTGTATACTCCGTCTTTTTAACTTAATTACACAAATAACCAGTGTTTATATGTTTACTGCTTGCGTAGTAGTACCGACGGGGGCAGATTGGAACCAAGGTTCTCCTTAATCAGACAGTCAGGCTTCCAGTTCTCTGTAAATTTTACCATTCTCTATTATACCTTCAATTAGAGCATACTGATTATTTTTCTTGGGCCTGTATGCGTTTTTCTGTCTACTAACAATCTAGCTAAAAGCAAACTATCCTTAAAAGGGATGCTCGGCAGTTGACTCAGAGAAGTTCATCAATAGGCCCTAAGTAATATTACCGGTATTTATTTTTATTTTATTTACTTTGTGAACATACGCCTTTAAATCGGTGGCACTCACAGATGGTGCGTTCAACTAGAAAACAAGACATGGAGTCACTTAAATACTGTACACTTAATACGAATTAAACTAAATTAATACTTTAAAACAAATAAAACTGAGAAATTAGAACATTATAAATATATACTGTAATACAATAACACATAAAGCATACATTGCTTGTGTGTACACCCATAGAGAAAATCTGTTCTCTATGGTTGTACCATAATGTGATAATAGTGAGTGTGCCCTCTATATAATTGATTCCCGTGACGTCATTTTCAAGCCTTACTGTGTACTTACCAATATTTCAGAGACCATCTCCGACAGGAAGTTCCAGAGATCAGGTGTTTGTGTTTGCAGTCCAGTAGGAAAATACACAAATTGTAAGCGGCTATTGAGGAACAGTGGCGCGTTTTCTTCTGGGAAACAACTTGTCTCATTTTACTGATATTTGTTGATTGCTTGGATACAGAACCACAGATACAATGCCCATCTTTACGAAAAGAAAGGAGAAAATTACCGAGAAATACGAGCTTAAGCACGTCCTTGGAACGTAAGTATATAGTGCAGCAGTACAATAGGCCCAGTTGTTGATTGTGTTGAAGTGGCCGGAGAAGAGGTTCACACAGGCTAGGAGTTTTGACATCAATTATCAATATTTTGTTTTGTTTCTAAAGGACATTAGACGTACGCTTCATTATTCACCGTAACTGCTATTTGTTTACTCAAGGCATGAATACTCAGTTTGAGTTATTTGCTGCCTAGTCTTCATAAGATGAATGTTAAATAAATTTTAGTCATTGCAGCCTGTCTCTTATACACATCTAGATGTGTATAAGAGACAGCATTGAGGCCCTTCTTTTATGTGAAAATGATCTATTCTAAATTTGTCTTTCTTGAGTTTGGGACTAAAAAAATATTTATATAATACATACAGGACATACAATATATATTATATAATTTAAGTATTGATGTCTTGGCCACAAACTGTCTGCTCCCTTTCCACACCTGCAGAGATGGTGAGGGAGACACGGACAACACCACTGGCCTAAAGTTTAGGGTCAATTTCTTTAAAATGTAAAAAATATCCATGGTAATTGCAAACATATGTTAGTCTGCTGATTGATAGCTTATCAGTGCACATGGGAGAAGTTAGTGAAACACTTGTGTGTCTAGGGGGTATGCGGAGGAGGGCACACACCCCCGAAAGAAGAGTGCACCCCCAATTGAATATGTTTAAAGCAAAAGATCTCGCTCAAGTAGTTACAAAATCACCTTATTTTGTGAGCTAGCACCCCCCCCCCCAGTATTCATCCTGCCTGTAACTTCAACTTCATGTTCGCACTTGAAGTAAACCTGCAGTAACTTAACAGGTTTTAATTTTTCATGATATATTTATTTTTTTGACGTAACACATTACAACAACTAAGAACGGTCAATAATTGGCCAGTTTCAGTAGATACTGTAAGCCAGTGGCCAGGAGAAAAGGCTGGTTTTGGCCTGTGGGGCAAACATTGAAAATGTGGAACTAAATAAATTCTAATGAAAACCTAATGGTAACTCTATTCTACAGTTTAGCCCCTCTTGATGCTATAATAATTATTAAGTTTATTTTTCTCTTGAGTGAAGCAGTTGAAATACTAGGAGAAACATACTCCTATGCATTTCCCACCCCTACCCCCAGCTACTTTCACCAATGAAAAGCACCCAACAGTTAGACAAATTCAATCAACAATCAACTTATGCACTGCACTTTACTACCTGCAGGCCTAAATTAAAATGCCAACTCACATTGTCACAATGGTCATAAACATCTTAATATGATTGTCCTTGAACATATTCATCATTCTTATTCTGCAGTTATGCTGAAGGCTTATGCTTCTGTTAAACATATACTGATGTAAATTTAGAAAAGGCTAATAAGCTGCTCGTTGACAGTGATTTAAATTTATAATGATAAGTGTTCTACGAGTATAATTTTACTTCACAGCATAGTCAAGGTCAAAACGTCATGGATTGAGGATTTTATCTTGATATCAATCTAGCATTAATTTTCCTAGCATATGAAATAATATCATCTGTAAATTATAATATTACCGTTAATGTGTTAAACCAAAGGAGATGTATTTTTCTTGTTTTAAATATTTCTGAGATGAACTTCAGAAAAAACTCCCTACAGCTCAAATATAAAAATACAATTACTAATACATATAATAAATACTGCTTTCAAAATTATGTCTGCATACCTTTAGTAATACTGCATATGTTCAAACCCTCCTGAGGTGGTAAATCTGGACTGTCCTTTGAGCATTCCAAAAATTTGATAATTTCATGGAATTTTTTAAATTTTCTGAAAAAAACTTTCTTGAATTTTTCATTTGAATGCAGTGAAAAGATGCAAAGCAAAAAATTGTATGATATATTTAAAATTGAATTTCTAATTATCAATTAAGACACTGTTTAGTGTTTTTAAACTGGGAGACAGAGAATTGAACATAGACTGCCATTTCCAGGTGCCTAAAGGTGGCATATACTTACTGGTATGGTATGGTAGTTTATTCAGTATATATATTTTCAGTTATCATTTATTATTATAAAAAGAAAAGCTATAGTAGTGTTATTGCAAGCTGAATAGCTGAAAACGTGAGATTGGAGTCTGTTCCATAGGCAGTCAATTGAGAAATATCTGAGAAATGGAATTGTGATTTTGGCAAGGAAGAATATCAGACAAAGTACATCACACACTTTAAGGAAAGATATTTACTTTGGAAGGCTTTTCTTTTGTGCGTCAGTTGGTTGGAAAAAAAAATCTTTTCATTCTAATTTTCAATTAAAAGTTTAATATTTATTATTTATTCAACTTTATTTTATGAGGGTAGCTCTAACAGCTTGGCTGACTTAAAGAGGCCCACATAACAAATACAAAACAAACACAATTATGTCTGTATAAATATTATTAAAACGACGTATTTCAAGAAGCATTCTCATTTGAAATTCCAATTGAAAGATAATAGTTTATAAATATACATACAATTGCAATTTAGTATGTATTAATTATTGCAAGGTTATTAGATCCAAGGACAGTATACCACCAAACTGCAGTTTCATTTCGTATTTAAGCTGTTTTTTATTTGCTGTTCATATTTTCTTTAGTGAAGTTAAAATGATTGACATACTTTCAGCATTCATTATCACTCGTGAATGTAGGTGGGTTGACTACCATCAGACTAATTTCGTCAAGTAAGATCCAGGGTACAACAGAGTGAAAAAACGTTTTTCAAATTAGATTGGATAGGTTCGATCTTTGCAGATTAAATGAAGAACAAATAATAATGTGTATATTAATCAAAGTTTATCAATTCAGGTACAGTATAATATTGATTTCCTGCCCATAGGCTGAAAGCTATTTATATAAAGGGGGATCCAGAATTTTTAAAACAGAGGGATAACAACAATTTCAGAATAGGAAAGTGAGCAACACATAACATTGATTTGCATTGAAATTTTTAAAATTTAGTGGCAAAATGGGGCGGATCCTACTGGAGATCAAGGTCAAAACGTCATGGATTGAGGATTTTATCTTGATATCAATTTAGCATTAATTTTCCTAGCATATGAAATAATGTATGAAAACATGTTGAACAAGTTTTGTATGATAGATCCTTATTTATAAGTCCACCTTCTCCCTTGGACACAAAATTAGGTAATGTTTGGGGTGGGGAGTAATAAATGGTGTAGCGCTCAGCCTCACAGATGGTCTGACTTTCGACTTGATAGCCTGGTGTCCCAGGGCATGGCCCTATGGCTAACATTCCAATGCTAAATTTCAATTATTTCATACTTGGCTCATTACTGTATAATTTTATCTGAGGCATATCCTCAGGGAAAAGCACTTTGCATAAAAATTTGGTTAGGAGGTGAATTTATACGTGGGGAACTACGGGTTCTCTATGTTAGCAGAACAGAAATAGACCAGCTGTGACTTAGTTTTTACAAAAGCTTGCCTGCCAGTCCAGTGGTTCCATGTTGAAATCCTATAAAACATTTGATTTTTTCTCACGATTCTCACTACTGGCATGCCTATAGGCGGAGTCTATTTTGAGACAACTATACCTGGATGGACCAATCGGTGCCAAGTTTCCTTAACTTACCTCATTCAAAGGCTGCTAACATCACTGCTGGTTTGTTTAACCAAATATGTACATCACTTAATCTAAAATCTGCTTAAACAGGTAAGATGCTCAACTTCGAATTCCCAGGTCCTGGGTTCAAGGGTATGTATTTTTTTTAAATTTTTGACTTTCTTATATGGCGCTCTACGAGGAACAGATCACCTTACAAAACTTACATTTCAAAAGAAAAGGAAAAACAAACAAGTGTAATAACAATATAGCTCTGCTCTTAGTGAAAGAATTTCTTAAAAACGATGTTTGAATAGAGGTGCCGAAACCGCTTCTCACAAATCGACAGGAAGTGTGTTGAAATTCTGATATTTTTTTTTTCTCATTTCTGAAGTCAGTGATCACAAAGGTGAGACTTGGTTTAATGATGGTTTGATCTAAAATCTGTTTATAGTGAAGACCTTATTATTGGACGTTAAATCTGTCATTACATCATTATTGTTACTATAACACTTTAGTTTGTTTATATAATTGCAGATTCATTTCCGTCCTTTTATCAAAGACATTTCATGTCCAAATTCTCATGATTTGTAAAATTAATTCTAACAGAAACAAACCTACGTTCATACAAACTATCGTGAAATATAAATACACCATTCTAATCCAGTTTTTCATAAGGAATTTGTCAATTAAAATAATTGTTAATTATTTTACATGCAATATTTGTTAATGATAAACAAAGTTTTTTAGTGTAATGGTGAGAGTTGAGCTAAGTTCACCCACCTCTGTAAATCAGATAATACTTTCCACTGTCCAAGCAATACCTTTAAAGAAGCTGTAACCTACAATAGCTCATGAATATTCAAAGTGGTTTTAAACTGGTAAAAAGTCAGAAAACTTTACTTGAGTACCATGCAAAGTTTTTATATGACCTATATTCATGACTACATAAAAAAAATTTAAAAAAAAGAAAAAAGGAGTACAGTTAGAATATTAAATTTTATTTCAATTATAATTATATTGCACTACTACAAGACATGGCATTTTGAAATGTAGCACATCACAAGCAACTTGATAATAACTGTAGAAATGTTTACATCAGATCTTTTAGTGAACAGAAAGTGTTGCATGATTTCTGTACTTAAATGCAGTAGCTGATCTTAAAAGCTTGTAATTTTTGGATTTATTTCTTGGCACATTTCTAGTAATTTTCACCAAAAAATAGTTTAAATAAAGACAACTCCAAATCCAATAATTTTTAAATTATTATAATATTGTAAATGTTATTAACATTATAATTTGCACTATTTTATTTGTTTATTATTATTTTTTTTTATATCAGTTATATTTATTCAGAAAAAATACATTCACTTCATAAAAAAATATACAAATACATACATAGTAAATACAATTTCAAATTTACTTCATATAA